AAGGAAGAGACTACAAAGGACATCTTCACATCAGTCAGCCATCAGAAAAGAAAGGGAGACATTAAGCAACATTCTTGAGGAAACCTGAGTGGAAGAATACTGGAACTCTGTGAGAGAAACGTAAAAGGAAAGCTGCATAACCGTGTTGGGAAGAGGGAAGAGGAAACGAGATAAGGAACAGATCTGTACGGACACACGGATAGGGTAGCAAGAGAAAGATGGTGAAGCAGAAGATGAACCATTGCAGTGCGAAGATGAACAACGAAAAGAGGAACTGAGTACAATATTTAAAACACTGGGCGAAGAAGTGAAGAAGAGTGGGCCCAAAGATGAAGGACACTTCTACGACAAACTGGCAAGTGAAGCAGAAGAGGCTGAAGGTAGGAGTGACGGAGATCTTAAAACACTATATCAAATAACTAGCTTGCTATCTGGGAAGAGGTCAGGGCAGATAACACCAATGAAAAATAGTTAACAAAACTTAGTTACCAAAGAGGAGAAACAAGGGAAGTGATGGGTTGACCACTTCAAAAAACTCTTAAATCAACCAACATCACCACTTGAAACTCGTCCAGAAATACCACCAGCAGCTCAGCCACTGAACTATCAGTGAAAACAAACCCTCCAACAAAAGCAGAAGTCATTATTGCCATAAAGTTACTGAAATCCGGGAAAGCAGAAGGACCAGATGGAATTCCTTTAGAAGCACTGAAAACAGACTCAGAGACATCGGCAGCGGACATGCTCACACCACTACTGCAGAAGGTTTGCAAAACAGGAAGGCAAGGTACCTGCCAACTGATTGGAAGAAGAGCTACCTTGTCAAACATTCAAAGAAAGGAAAGCTAAGTCTTTGCAAAAACTGGCGCTGAATCATGCTCCTGTTCACCCAGAGCAAAGTATTAAGCCGCATCATCCTGGAGAGAATAAAAGATGCTCTGGATTCAAAATTACGACTAAAACAGGCTGGCTGGATTCAGGAAAAACAAATCATGTGTGGATCAACATCCAACGCTACTCTACGCCACGCATTATCATAGAGCAGAGTAAAGAATGGCAGTCAACTCTCTACCTCAAACTCATCGACTTTGAAAAGACTTTCGACATCGTCAACCGAGAAGTAATTTAGAAATTGCTTCACCACTACAGTTTTAGTGCCACAAACATTCGCCAATCTCATTCGACAGCAGCTATATGACGATGCTACATGCCAAGTGATTCACAATGGAAAACTCAGTGATGCCTTTGAAGTGAAGACAGGAAGGAGTAAGACAAGGTTGCAGCCTACTATCATCGCTGATCAGCTACCTGATTGTAGTCGACTGGACTGAACTGAATCATGTAACAAACTGTGAGGAATGAGAAGATGGGCATTCGCTACCCGAACCGATGAAAGGAGGCTAGAACATTTGGATTTCGCCGCAGACGACGATGATTTATGTCTAATGTCTTGTCTCACAAAGTTGAAGATCTACAGGCGAAAACTGACAAGTTGGCCGAAGAAGCAGGGCAGCGAAGATGGGACTTCTTTCAGATGGTTGTAGAGAAGACGGAGGTGATGAAGATACCCAACCAACAACATCAACAGCAACAACAAGCATCAATCACCATCAACGGGAGAAATTTAAAGGAAATAGCTTCTTTCACCTACCTAGGCAGCATCGTTTCAACTACAGGCGGAGGCACAGATGAGAACGTCAAAGCCAGGATCGGAAAAGTAAGATAGGCCTTCATTAATCTGAAACCAGTGTGGAGATCTACTGCAGTTCACTCCACTTCGCATAAAGAACAAGATCCGGAGTTTTGGTGACTTGGCGAGTCACGAAAGGGAGTTCCAACAAACTACAGACATCCGTCAACAGCTGCCTATGCTTACTCAATACTGAAGATCAGATGAATTGCCAAAAAGAGTAAGCAACAAGGAACTTTGGCCTGGCAACGAACCAACCAAGCACCCATCGCCCAACAAATATGCAGAAGAAAGTGGAGATGGATTGGGTGAACACTGAAAAGACCATTTGGGGACATCACGCTCCAGGTCAGGGCGTCGAGTGGAAGCCAAATGGGAAACGACAAGTTGGGCCGTCTGTGTGAGGGTGACATAGAGGAGATGGTGTGATGAAGAAATGAAAGCTTCTGGGCAGTCGTAAATTCGGGTTCAAACGGACTGCGGAGGACAGAGTAAAATGGGGACGTACTACTGAAGCCCTATGTTCCACTAGGAACCCAAGGGACAGATAATAATAATAAATGCAAAATGAGTAGTCTTTCACGAAACTGTTCATTTAAGATAAATGAGTTCGTATCCCAAATAATTCAGGAATATATCACATACTTAATTTGCAAAATAGAAGTTATTTGTTTTTTAGACTTTAGGATGACACTGCTAAATCTTATCAATAATTTATCGAAAACATTTGTTTCCCGATACAAATTTAAAACAAGCAACAAGTGTGAAAAAAGCAGGAAATGGTAGTCAGCCTGAATCTGCCATGGTAACAAGTACGACATTGTCTAATCATATTTAATCTTTCTTATTTTATTCTTCACTACTAATTATCACTCATCTCATATTTGTTTTCCTTCCCTGATTTACTCCGTCTAATTAACCTTATTCCTATTGCCAATGTTATCATTATTATTCATCTCAATATACACCTTGTTTTCTTATTGTCTGCATAAGTACTATTAACTATCTTGTTTTCAATGACGTGATCGACGCTCAATCGATTCAGTTCTCATCCCTATGTCAACAATCTTGAATATCCATTTGACCTGTAAAAACTATTCACTTCTATGTTGTTACACCTAAATTTGTCTCAGTCTACGTTGTATATGTATGTATGTATGCTTTTTTTCACTGCTTAACGGTATATATAATCAAGTAGGTAGAGTATCCAGCTGACTAGTACTACTGAAATTTATGAATTCAGTATTTTATCGACTATAGCACTTCTATAAACTTTCAATGATAAATATTTTTCCGAGAGAAATAAAACTTCATAAATCCAGATTCAATCTTATTTTCGATCACAAAGATTTAAAGATTCATTTCATGAGTTGAGGACTTAACTTCTGTTAGGCGTCTTGCCAGTGTAGTAACTCTAATGTGATGCTGATTAAACAGTCATATATTAGAAACTCAACAGTAGTAATAATGCAGTTTATTTCAGTAACACATCTAACTATTTCTTTCAGTATAAGTGCAAACAGGGGCACTACTGTAAAAATACGATTTCGTGTTAGATTTGAGATTTTTATGTAGAACACAAGGATACAGTATTATTTACTTGACGAGGTTTCGAAACATTAGGCCTTGGAAATACTGAGTACAATACAGTAATGCATATCCGGACAACGATGCTCAAAAACGACTGTAAGTTGGAAAATAACTCTGTTGGCCATTTTTTCATCCTTTTAGCTTGCAATAATTCAAAAATAAACAAGGAATTACAACTTTTTAACCATCATACTTTGTACTATTTCCGATGATGAATTGCGTTCCTAAGGCTTGTTTTATCTGTAGGTCTTGTAATCACTTTTTAAAACGAGACCATATTTTTGTAGATGACATCGTCCAAACTTAAGCAGCATACTTTATGACCACAGAAAGTGTATATGACGATGTACAGGTTTTTCACAAATCGTCTTAGAAACTGGATGGTGATTTTCATTAACGTAGAGTTTCGTTCGCAAAAACGGTAATCTTAACTCTCCTCTTTAGCACTTTATGTGCGGAACTGGCAACAGTTTTAGGTTGACTTAAGTTGCGAAATGACAGTAGTGCAGAGAAAACGTTTATACTACCCCTAGATCACTTCATAACTTGTGCTTGAATAATAAACTACGACAGGAATTCAACATGCTTGATTTAATAGATTGTTAGTCGCTGACTACGGTAAAAAAGAACAAGGTATCTTAGTTTACGGTCCAAGCGATTTCAAGTTAGATCAAGAAGGTATCATGAAATTCCATAAATCCTCAATATTTTTCGAACAGGAAAACGATAGTTGTAGCTTGATAACTCAATGCTGTCGATCCTGATGAACGATAAACGTGAGAGTTGTACACCCATAAATTACCTTTATGGAATATAACTCAATCACTTATCATTTGTGTGTGTGCAGCATTCAGTGCTGCAAATTTGGAAATGTGTAGCTAAATAACGTTAAACTAGAATTCAGTAAGAAATCAGATTGCATCACCTCTAGATAGCACCACCAAAATACGTACTAGAGACCATTTGATGTTCTTATACTGCAACGTGAAGATGTTATCATTTGCAATTTTGTAAGAGGAATTCTACAAGCACAGAGTGCAGAAACACAAACAAAATTTAGCAAAGCAAACACGGTATTCCTGCATATTCTTTGTAGAAAAATATGCTAATAAATGGTTTCATTAACCGTTTCACAAGACAAAAATGTGTTGTTCTAACAATTCGTACGCACAATGGTATTTGAAACAAGTATATACACTCCAAATATCATGTCATACTTCAAAATATTCCCACATTTCGAACTAAAATCCTCAAATGTTTCGGAGATGTCTGATATTAATAAGTCCATGTGACGCTGTTTAAACGAGACTTCCATTATCTGTATAAAACAATAGGCAACTCATAAAGCTATTGCATTCAACATAAATACTTAAGAATGCATTCAAACACCATAAATGTGTGAATTTTGGTTTGAAATCTTGAGGATAGAAAGCTACATGGCTACTTCGATCTTTTTTTAATAGATCTGTGTTTGCATACTCTTTTCATGAGTGACCCAAGTAATGACACGAAAACCAGTCTACAATCTCACGATAGAATAGAATCACCAGAAACTTTTGAAGGAAAAACATGGACACTCAATTCTTACTAAAATCCTTAGCAGGAATTGGACAAGCACAGAAATCTACTGGAAAAGAAATAATATAGGCTGCCAGCCTCTTGTCATCAAAAAATAAATCTGAAATCTGAATCTAACAGTTTAAAATAATAGCTGACTTACCCGATGCAACAAGTAAGTCGAACGTTGGAAACCGTTTTTTGATCACAACATTGAGACGAACATTGGCGATAATAAGATTGGACAAAACATAGCGCACACATGTACGACGTATTAAACGAGTCCGTTCAGCGGAACCTGGCAAGTGCGTGACTAGAGACATTGCAAACTTCACTATCCATGGTATTGAGGTGAAATAACTCCAAAATCTCGAGAAAACCAAAGTAACATAAAACCCAAGAATAAACGCCACAGGAATCATAGTTTGCGATTTACTAGTAAATAAAATAAGGCGTTCAAAAGCTCTAAAAAAGCTTCATTTGAAAACCGGTGTCAAACCTTTGTGTTCTATCAGAAAAAACAAATCGATACATGCAGCTGATGAATGTATAAATTATTGCAAAGACAGCAAGGTCAAAAGATATTAATTTCATGACACCCCCTCTCCACCTGAAACAATATGAAAAAAGAGCGCTTACTTACTTTAATAAGAGCCTGAAGAAAACTCCAGGACCACCAGTCAAGACAAACTGATTGTACTGGACAGTCATCGTACTTTCTCACCAGAATTCACTTGTAAAAACAAGATATTAAGCAATGGCCTACATGATGCGAGTGAAAAGTGAAAAACTCACACAAAGTATTATTTCGGAACACACCGGAGATAGGTTATGTGGTCTAAAAGGGCGCCGTTAAGAACGAAAGCAACAAGGTCGGGCAACCATAAAACAATTGTATGAGGCAACAAGGTTGAGAACTATTGAACTCTGTCATCTAGTTCTTTAAACTCATCTTTCGTCTATTTTAGTTGTTAAGCAGACTCATAGGTTCATCGGTACAAGTCTGCTTAGCATATATCTTCTCACGTAGGACTCGATTAATTCTTACATCCAACATCAATAGTGGAGTAGAGGAAACTTGTAGTGTACAAACTCTCACTTCTAGGTCTTTATGCTTGGTTCTCTTTTCTTTCCATTATGACCCTTCTACGGTCACATAAGCCTTTTCAGCTTACCTGCTCACAGTTTTAGAGGTAGTGATTGTCTACTTGAAGGTTTCCTGTTGCAATTACTGGTTCATTTGTTTCGTGCAGTAAAGGAGCTACTGGTGATATCAATCAATCTTCTACAATCCCTGCTTCTGTAGGTGGCTGCAGGTGAGTATTAGGCGTTATTTAAAGTATCACAAGGAACCTGACAATAGGGAAATTAGAAAAGAACAGGCAGAGGAACTCGTGGGCAATATACTGTTGGTGATAATATGGAATTAGTATGAATCGTATTTCAGATACTACGAAGGGTAATATGCGAATGTATGGGCTCACCTTCAATCGCTACTGGAGAATGTTGACGGTAAGCTGTTTGTGCTGAGGAACTTATCAAGCATTCTTTTGAAGGGTCAGCTGATGTTTCTGAGGGTACTTCTCCCGGCATAGCGTTTCATATCGTATAGACTCTGGGAGAAAACATTGCATCGAACTCTCATATCTATCCTCTGGTAGAGCATGTTAGTGGAATTCCCCACAGACTGTCCATTGGTGACTGATAATCCTGTTCTGTTGAGGTGGTTTACCTGGTTGATCATCTTGTAAGCAATCAGGTCGCCTCTTTTCCTTCGAAAGGCGAATGCGAACAAGTTGAGCTTATTTCAGGTGTTCTTGAGTTATCACACACAGGTTTTGCTCATTACAGTTTGTTGAGCAAGTACAGGCAGAATCTACGCAATTTATTTTATTGCTAGAGAGCTTTACTCACTTGCCCTAATGAGTCCTTAAATGTGTGTGTCACAAAAGTTCAGCCAGCACCAGAAAAAACCATGGGAAGAATTTCGTTATTCATTATGTGGATAGCAGGATAAGCAACTCAAGTAAAATGAGACTAGAGGCGAGCATGAAAGAGCTTTGGTAGGCACTGGAGCGACTGAATAAACGAATCAAAGATAGACGGTGACCTACTCTCAGATGCATTACTGGTAGGCCGCGCGAGTGGGCACATTTACTCAGTGAGGGTCGTTAAAGAGCACCACTACTTTTATTCGTTCCACCTCTGCGTCACCAGCCATAACACTTCTATGACTATAACTGTCATTGCCGTTAATAATATCACCCACTATGAATGCACAGATTGGAAATAAATTCGCCAAGGAGTTCGTGCAGCCTCGTTTTAACTTTTTATCACTAAAAAGCCATAGTTTTATAAATCAAAGGGAACAGCCTTCTGGCTGCAGTGTGGTACCGAAACTCACTGACAAAATTAAGGTAGTGGGCTCGCACAAGTGAAGGTTATTCACAGGAGAGCTCGTACTGAGGCAGATGTGGTCGTGATGAATCAGTGTATTTTTCAGGTGAGGGGGAATTTGAAATGTCCAAAACTAATCTTGCGAGGAAAGGGCAGGCATATTGGGGGAAGGAATTGCGACAAGAAGTTGCGTGGAAGCCCTCTAATCAGCAGACGCGAGCCATAAGTCGCCCGAACAAAGAGTACCTTAAGAGTTGCGGTTTAGCTCAGGCTTCTAGCGCTGCATTTTGTAGGCTGCTAAGTTTTAGGTCGAGCGACCGAGCCTGGTCTTCGACCCATCCCATCGAAGTATCTAGCACTGTGAGTAAGTATGAGTGAGGACCTTGGAGAGTTGAAGGGGTCTCGTCCAGGAAAACACCAGGACGTGATGATGCGTGGTCGTTAATGTCCAGACAGTGTGTCTAAACCAGTTCACTGGCGGTTACTCCAAACAACTTCTGAGCATTCGGGAGCTCTGTATGCAATGAAGTTTTTCTATCAGATACTTACAGTTAGCCGTTATAACTTTTTTGAGCAAGTAAGCCACCTTATGTTATCACAGCTACAGAGCTTCCAACGTTTCTATATTAACCACCCATTGAACGTAGTAAGTGACGGAATCCCGATGTTTTTTATCTTAGCATCGTAAACATCGGGCGATTCAACCTAAGCGAATGCTATTAGCCGATGAACTTCAAAATTGTTAGGCTGGGCACCGACCTCAACAGGTCAGTTGCCACAGAGAAACTAGAAACCTCCCCCTCTCATTAGTTGATAAAATAATGCCCTCATTAGATTGGTTTCGCAAAGATATAAACTGGCATCCATCTTTGAAGGTGGACCCTGTACCGTAAGGCCAAACCGCCATTGTAGCTGCGTCTGTGGTAGAGACATCTAAAGATCCGCAGGTTAAGGAATCCCGTGAAGCGAAAACATTTTACCCCCTAACAAGAAACAGCACACAAACTGCGCACTCTCTCTACACACATTAACAAGTGCATGACATTTAAAAACAGAGATGATGGTCATTTTCTCACCATTCGTTTCATGGGTTCAGTACCACTTCAGACGGCCTGTAATTTGTAATGCACCCATCGTAAACTAATCATATTTAAGGTAAGCGGAGAAAGTTATCCTTCACGACCCAGCAGCCTACAATACGGTAAACTTCCAAAAATTTTCAAATATATTTCGCCAGTTTCGTTACAGACACCGCCGGTAATTTTAGAAGCAAACAGTGCTTATATTCACAACGGGCTGGATCCAAGTTATTTCAGCCATAGGAAGCACAAAAAAGCAACCAAAACTGCCACATAGACGTCGGACCACCTCTTCGCAAACACCGAAAACAGTCATCCTATAAAATTATGTCGCTCAGCCACTGGCCAAAGTGTCTGTTCATGTGTTTCCACAATGTTCGTTAAGACCGTAAAATCTCCAAAGGCGGAAGTCAAGTCACCATACTTCCAAGTGTTCTTGAAGAGATATATTTGGATCTGATCAAATGCTTCGTGAGGCATATGGTGAAATGGTATCAAGCGGAGTTCAACGGCTGGACAAATAAGACACATGAAGCCTCTTCGATCTTCAGGTGAGAACCAACATGGAGGACCATTTCTATTCCTTCTTCAGGCTCGCAACCCTGTCGAAGTAGGGTCGCGTTGCAAAATAACCCTTGAAATTTGGTCAGCACTCAGGATTGAACAACGTGGAACCAGTTGTTTCTCGGTGGCCAATCAATGTATCTAATCAGGTCCCAAAGGGGGGTTGCAACCTGAACATATTGGTGGTAACGTCACTGACAGTAACACCAAGTGGGTGGCCTCGAATCGCCTAGGAGAAATCAGTACCTTCGGGATTGCGGATACTCCTTGTTGGCGAGTTCCAAGAAGCACGAAACCTAGATGAAGGGTTCCCTATCTATTGCATCCAACCAACCCACACCTACTAAATTACTTCACAGGGGTGACCTTTCTAGCTTGACGGCCACGTAGCAAGGTGGTCAGCCCCCAGGACGGGGCAAAATGTAATTTGTTGCTCTCCAATGCTCAGTTTATACAGGACCACGTTGGCTGCACATATTTCCCTATGTTGAATCCCCGGCAAAATTCATAACCTGTCATGAGTACGATTTCCACTGGTAGGTGGGATGATGGAGCATTTGTTGTGGCCAATGCGACCGAAATCCCCATAGAGTTGTTGCACATGTGTGCCAGAAAATCGCGTACAATCTTGAAGACTTATATGAAGTAGCCCTCAGTGACAGAGTTACTGAGAATAAATGTCTATCAGTACTTTACTATTCAGACCGGAATGAGAAACGAAGGTGTTCGGCGAAATTCTGGTATTCAAGTGTGACGGCGATGGAATGGCGGTCCTTTGGAAAATAAATGGAGTTAGGTCAGTTGAAAGTTAACTTTAAGTAGCGCTGCTTAGAAACCCATACTTTTCGGCGTCAGGTGGAAGAAAATATAGAGATTAGTGCATAAGCAGGGGAAATAGACCCGAAGATACAGGGCAAAAATTGCCACCAAGCGTCTCTGAAGATCGCTGAAGATCGAGATCGTAGATATATATCCTTCACAATAGAAAGCGTAAGCTTCGGAGCGATTCAACATTGATGCGTCTTCATAGTCTTAACGTGGTTGCTAGGCTTAAGGCTCATGGTCGAGCGTTCATGCCATTTGGAACAGTGTCGTGTCACGTTGTTCCAGTTGTACACGATTTTCTTACCACTTCGTCATAACAAATCGGTATTTTGGCACAATGTATCAGATATGTTATTCCCACCCGGTTACTCCATTGTGTTCCTTCTTGTTTTCAGATTCGTGAGTATCCAACTGGTACGAAGAATTAGTGGGTCGCCTCTGCGTATATCAAGCCCGTGTAAGACCAATTCCTCAGTAGCCACCTATGTCAGCACTCAGTTGAACCCATAGAATCATACCTGTTTCGACTACTGTAATGAAAATACTGACTATGTCACTGTTAAGTGTTGTCACTGGCATTTCGATTTATGCGGTTTTATTTGCTCAACCGGCGTCTCTGTGACACTTCGTTCCAGCCATTTCAATTGAATTAGATTCTCTGAGAAGTGAACAGTATTCTCGGCCCGAATAACATGAAGTTTACTACCAAAAGTGTAGAGTGATATAACTGTTTTGCTTGCAACTAACTGTGTCTTCTCGATCACACAAATTCACCCAATTTTTTCTGCTAGTTTATGCGCATTATTGGTGTTGATTCTCCTTAATAACTTAGTATATATCAAACCCAGGAATTAGCTCCATTTTTGAAGTCCGGTCGGTGAGTTATACGCATCCTACGGAAGCAACTGATAGTAAGTTAACAAAGGAATAAACTTTCGATGAAACCACCTACTGTTGGTTGAAGTAATATTGAGTTCATAATAGCTAACTATAACAGGCAGAAAAAAGGAACGTTCAT